TGGTAACTACCCGAAAATGTGGAAAATTGCCCAAATATGACCTGTAGTATAAGCAGGACAAATCCAACCTGGCCAATTACCTCCTCATCAGTCTACTCTGGATCATCAGTAAATTGATTTAAAGGAGCCATCAACAGTGCAACCAAGCAGCACGTGCTCAGTAATGCCCACTTTGGGTTCCACCAGGGCCACTGAGCTCCTGACCTCATTACAGCCTTTGTTCAAACACAGACAAAAGACCTGAATTCCAGAGGTGAGGTGAGAATGACAGACCTTGACATCAAGGCTGCATTTGACCAAGTGTGGCATCAAGGAGTCCTAGCAAAACTGGAATCAGTGGGTATCAGGGGGCAAACTTTCCAGTGGTTAGCGTCTTGCTGGACACAGGAAGATGCACTGCAGAAATTCACCAAAGATCCTCAGACAGCACCTTCTGAACTCTCAACTACTTCTATCTAGAAGGACAAGGGCAGCAGACATATGGGAACACCACTATCTTCAAGTTCCCCTCCAATCCACTCACCATCCTGACTTGGAAATATATTGGCGTTCCTTCACTGTCGCTGGGTCAAAATCCTGGAATTCCCTCCATGAAGGCATTGTGGGTCCACCCACCCAGGAGGACTGCAGTGGTTCAAGAAGGTAGCTCATCATCACCTTCTCAAGGGCACCCAGAGCTGGGCAATAAATGCTGGCCAACAAGCAATGCCCACATCGTACAAAATGAATAAACAAAAAAAAGCACATTATTTGGTTCCTGTCAATCCCATTGGCTAGGACTTCCCCAAAAAGCTCAAATTAGTTACGTGATTTCCCTAACACAAAGCCATGCCAAGTCTGCTTGATTAGATTTTGATTTTCCAAAAATGCTGCTGTTACTTCCTTAATAATTAATTTCAACACTTTTCAAGCAATACATGTTAGACTTATCAACTGATTAGTTCCTACTTTTTGCTTCCCTCTATTTTTGAGTAGGTGTCACTTTTTGGCAATGATTCTAATCTTCCAGTATTTAAAACTTTTGGAGAATTACAGCCAAGACATCCACTATTTCTGTAGTTATCTGTTTTAAGATACTAGGATGCATGCCATCAGGATCAGGGGACTTTTCTGTCTTTAGCCTCATTAGTTTGTCTAATAATACTATTGTGGTGATGGTGACAGTACTTAATTTGTGTCATTGTTTAGTATTATGGGATGTTTGAAGTATCTTCCATTGTGAAGACCCATGCAAAATATCTATTTATCTCCTCTGCCACTTCTTTGTTCTCCGTAACTATCTCCTCCAGGTTCATTTTCTAAGGGGCCTTTGTTGACTTTGACCTCCTGTCTTTTTCCTTTATGAAGCTCTTGTATCAGTTTTTGTACGCTTTGTTGGTTTGCCCTCTTAGTTTACTTTGTATCTGTTTATGATGTTCATAGCCTTTTTCTGGATTCTGAATTTATCCTAGTCTTTAGGGCTATCACTGACTTTTGCATCCTTATATGCTTTTTCTTTCAACGCTGATCTTAACTTCCTTTCTAACCATGGTACGCTTATCCCTCTCTCTTAGAATCTTTCCTCCTTACTGAAATATATTTTTACTGAGTGTCATGAATTACCTCCTTTAAATATCTGTAACTAGTTGCTTACTGCCTTTCTTGCTAATTTATCCATCCAGTTCACTATAGTTAACACTATTCTCACCTAGTTGTAATTCTTCTTATTTAAGTTAAACAGTTGTTTGTGACCCAAGTGTCTCAGTCTCAAACTGAATATTAAAATCACTGTGTTATGATCACTATTTCTTAGGAGCTCTTTTACTCTAACGCCATTTATTAAACACACCTCATTACACGTTACCAGATCCAGGATACTCTGGTCTCTGGTTGTGTCCATGACCTATCATTTTAGGAATTATCCCTAATGCACTTTGTGAATTTGTTGTCATAACTACCCTTTCTAATTTGATTTAACCCAATCAACATGAAGATTAAAGTTACCTATAATTATTGTTGTATTCTTTTTTGACATGCTCCTATTATTTGTTAACTTATTCATTTCCTATGGTGTGTCCACTGTTTGAAGGTCTCCATACTAGGTCTACCATTGTCGTCTTTCCCTTCCTGTTTTTACTGACATCCAATTGGCTTCTACATCATCTTGAGCTTAGATACTCACTCTCTCACAACTGTCCTCATAGCATCTCTTATTAATAGAAATTCCCACTACCTTTTTTTCCCTCCAGCCTTTCTGAAAGGTCAGATATCGCTAAATGTTAAGCTTCCAATATTGATCATCTTATAAGCGTGTCTCCATAATGGCTAAGAGCTCAATTTCCACCATTAGCTCACCTAAAAAGCTCTCCGCATCTTCCTCTCCTGCAGGCCCAAACAGTCCCCCTCCACCGACGCCCTCATCGATTAACAGAACTCATCCTTACCCTTAACAATTTCTCCTTTAACTCCTCCCACTTCCTACAGAGTAGTGGGGTGGCCATGGGCACCTGAATGGGCCCAATCTATGCCTGCCCCTTCGCAGAATATGTGGACCAGCTGCTTTTTCAGTGTTACGCTGTCACTGTCCCGCACCTCTTCCTCTGCTACATTGATGACTGTTTCAGTGCTGCCTCTGGTGACTGTCACGAAACTGGCATCTGTTTCAAGCCCACTGACTCCCACAGCTACCTGGACTACACCTCCCCTCAGCCACCCTCCTGCAAGAATGCGATCCCCTACTGCCAATTCTTCTGCCTCTGCCACGTCTGCTCCCAAAATGAGGCCATCCACTCCTGCACATCCCAGATGCCCTCCTATTTCATGGACCATAACCTCCCCCCATCCGGTGATCGACAATGCCGTCAACCGCATCTCTTGCATTTCCCGCACTTCTGCCCTCACATCCCCTCCCTCCAATAAAAATAAAGACAGAATCCCACTTGTCCTCATTTCACACCACCAACCTCTGTATCCAACGTATTGTTCTTTGCCCCTTCCGCCACCTACAATCCAACCCCACAACCAAAGAGATTTCCCTCCCCATCCCTGTCTGCTTTTGTAGAGACAGCTCTCTCCACGACTCCCTCGTCCGCTCCACATTCCCCACTAACCCCATCACCCCCAGCACCTTTCCCTGCAACTGCAGGAGGTGCTACACCTGCCCCTATACCTCCTCCGCTCACCTCCATTCAAGGCACAAAACAAACTTTCCATATCAGACAGAAGTTCACCTGCTCATCAGTCAACTTGATCTACTGTATCCACTGTTCCTGATGTGGCCTCCTGTACATTGTTAAGACCAAGCGTAGACCTGGAGACCGTTTTGTAGAGTATCATCTACGCTTTGTATGCGACAAATGACAACACCTGCTGGTCGCCAACCATTCTAACTCCTCCTCCCACTCCCTAGTTGGCATGTCCATCCTGGGCTGCCTCCAGTGCCACAATGACGCCACCCACAAACTGGAGGAGCAGCACCTCATATTCTGCCTTGGGAGCCTACGGCCCTACGGCCTAAACATTCAATTCACCAGTTTTAAAATCTCCCCACCCCCCGCCTCATCCCATGTCCAAGCCTCCTTCTCATCCCCACCTCCTTGACCTGACACAACCTATCCGTCTTCACTCGCACCTATCTGCCAAACCGATCCCACTGACCAATCCCCACCATTATCTACCTGCACTCACTTATCACCATCCCACCTACCTTCCCCAGCCTCACCCTTCCTCCCTTTATTTATTTCAGAGCTTCCCCATTTCTGAAGAAGGGTCCCAACCTGAAACGTCAACTTTCCTGCTCCTCTGATGCTGCCTGGCCTGCTGTGTTTCTCCAGCTCCGTACTGTGCTGTTTGACTCCAGCATCTGCAGTTCTTGCCATCTGTCTTGTTCCAAATGCTTTGTGCATTAAGAAACAAAGCCTTTAAGCTTGCCTTTCTGCCATTTTTAATCATCCTAACTTTTACTTGTACAGTGGCCCTATTTGCACCTCACCCTTGATTACCCTGTCTAAAGTTTTTGTATTTTACTGTTCTGTCTTTCATTACTGTCCCTGTTTCTCTTTCCGTTGTTTCCCATACCAGAGGTAAGAAATTAGATGTTTAAAGAGCTATTTTACTGATATGTTGGGAAATATGTAGGTAATTAGGTTCATGTTTAATCATTTAAAATACAAAAATAAAATTGTACCACTTGAATGACATTTTAAATTTTTAATTGACAGGGAATTTCCCTGAAAATTTTCTGAGCCTAGTTTAGGTTTTCTCTCCCCACTATTCTATGAACCTATTCCAACCACACTAACAAATACTAACGGGGCGTCAGTCCTGGCCCTGTCCAGGTTAACCCATCCAGTTGTACTGATACAATCTGCCTTGCATAAAACCATATTGATCAGCCTATACCTTTCACTGTGCAAAGTCTGGAGTAATCATTGTGATATTTAGCAGTAGACAGTGACATGCAAAGTAAAATATCATTTTAAAAAAGTGATACTTTTTAATGTACTTAATAGTAATTGTCCATGGTATAAAAAATGCTCAATAAAATAATGAATGTCCCATTTTGAATTTTTGTTTTATTTCTTTATAGTCTAAACATATGGAGACTCAGTGTCTCTACCAAGAATGAATTTTGCTATGTTGGACGTATAGTTCATCGCATGACCCAGCTGTAATGCATCTAATGTTTAGTACTGACCATTGGTAGTCCAGATAGTGTGAAAAATAGACGTGCTCCTCTCTCAAAAGATCTTTATGTACCACTAGGCAACTGGTGCTGATTCAGTAATTAACACCACATGTCATGTCGGTGTCTTGTTCAGCTCTAGACTAATACAGTTACCATTAGAACTAAAATTATGCAAATTTGAAAATAGACCAGAAATAAGAAATTTGACATCCGAAGAGCTATTTTACTAATGTATTGGGAAGTATGTAGGTAGTTAAGTTCATTGTGTTGAATTACTTAAAATGCAAAATAAAATTTTATCAGTTGCTTGACATTTTAAATTTTTCATTGACAGGCCACTGCTGGGTTCACCATTGTTGCGCAGAATGGTCTTCTGGAGTGTGCCAGACAGATGAACAGGTACTGATGAATGTGGACAAAGCAGTTCTCTCAGGGATTGCAGAGGTAAGTTGATATTTTACCAAAAGAGTAGAAATTAAGTAGCCGAAATGTATCCCCAGGACTTCTGAGCAAAATCTACTTAATGAAAGCTACAGTGCTGTTCTTTCAGCAGTTTATAGTGATTAGCAAGTCACATCAGAAGTTTGAATTGGAATCTTTTGATGCATGTTTTCGTTATGAGGAAGGACTGAATCTTTCATTGGATTCCTATTATCTCTAAACGGAATAGCAGTGAAAGTTGGAGAAGTTGAAAAATTAGTGCCAGTAAAACAAGGGCTGTCAGTTCGCTTTGAGAACATCCACAAATAGCAAAAGTTCCATAAACTTAATTGCCTATCACAAGATACGTGGCATTCATAAGAACAGTTTACAATAAGGCAAAATATTTATTCTGTATTTTAGACCAATGGATAACAAGCAATAGTTCTTTCTGTAACTCATCAAATGTCCTGTAAATAGTCTGTATAGGAGTGTTTTTTTTTTTTGGTCAGTGATTCCTAAAATGAACCTATGTGCTTTTTTGGCTGAATGAATTAGAGTGCTTCTGTAAAACTATGATTCAATTCATGCTTAGCATCTTATTGCAGATCTGACACAGGCTACTTTCAATGCATTAGTTGAATAGGTGGAGTAGTGCCTTGGGCGCAAGAAAGTGTCCGTCAGTTTCTAAATATTTTGATGAATAATGTCACTGATAAAGGTCAGTTGTGGCAGGAATCCTTGCACAGCTTTGCAACCAAAAGGTCAATATAGAGGAGTGGTAATTGTGAGCTATTTTGTACAATGCTCATAGGTCTTCATTCATGACCTTTCAGTTTATTAATGTGTTATCAAAATCCTATTGACAACCTGCTTATTAACTGAGGCAAAGAATGCCAGTGTTATTCAGGATCTGAGGCAACAATGCAATGACAAGTTCTATGAGTGTTGTGAAATTCCTCAGTTGTGACCTCCACTTTGCCCTTCCTAATTGCCTGTGCAGAATGAACAGGATACGCGTAAATATGTCCTGCTGTCTGGGCAATTGAGAATTGAAAACTTGTTCATCATGTTATTTCATAGAATTTCATAGAATCCCTACAGTGTGGAAACAGGCCCTTTGGCCCAACAAATCCACACCGACACAAAGAGCATCCCACCCAGACCTATCCCCCTAATCTACTCATCCCTGAACACTACGGGCAATTTAGCATGGCCAATCCATCTAACCTGCACATCTTTGGACTGTGGGAGGAAACCGGATCACCCAGAGGAAACCCCCACAGACACGAAGAGAATGTCCAAACTCCACACAAACAGTCGCCCGAGGCTGGAATTGAACCCAGGTCCCTGGCGCTGTGAGGCGGCAGTGCTAACCACTGAGCCACTGTGCAGACCAAACCCCTTCAAAATATGTTAAGATAGTCTAGACCCTAACTTTTTCTCATTTTAAAGATAATTGTAAGGCATTGCATTCTGAATGCAATTGGATTGGTCAAACTACCAGGCTTGAAACAAAATATACTTTATGCACTATAATTAAAATACAGTAAAAAAGAACACGCCTTAACTGTAACTCTGTTGAAACGCTTAACAAAATAATATATATATTAAAAAAAACTACTACTGATTGACTGTTCCAATATAGTAACACCCCATAAACACACACTTGCAAAGCCAAATTCAGTAAAATAGATTGTCTGGCATGCAATTCTAACAGCAGGAAGAGAACCCCAGTTTTTAGCTGTAACAGAGAGGAATAAGAGCTTTCACATCCAGCTTCAAGACCCCTGCAACAACTACTGAAGGCTAAAACTTAAAAAAAAAAAAAAGTCCTGATTCTGAGGAAGATTGACCCTGCCCATTCAGGCTGCTTCTATTGTTCCATCTTAAAAACAGCACTTAAGGCCATATAAGGTGCTTATTGACTTTGGAGCAGACTGCCCTGTACCTCTGTCTCAACCTTTCTTCATTTAAAAAAAAAGCAGGACAAAATACACCTCTTTGAGGCCATTGTATCATCACCCTGCCGCCCACCTTTTAAAACAAAAGAACCATCAAAAGGCTTTTGACAAGGTTCCACACAAGAAATTAGTAAAGAAAGTTAAAGCTTGTGGTATTGGAGGTAATGTATTGACATGGATAGAGAACTAGTTGGCAGACAGGAAGCAGAGAGTTGGAATAAACAGGTTCTTTCAGAGCAGCAGGCAGTAATGAGTGCTGGAACCTCAGCTGTTCACAATATACAATTAATGATTTGGGTGAAAGAATTTGAATGCAGTCTCCCAATGGATGGCAGTGTGTGCTGTCAAGAGGATGCAGGGTGACTTGGACACTGGCTGAGTGGGCAAATACTTGGCAATGCAATATAATGTGGACAAATGTGAGGTCATCCACTTTGGTCACAATAACAGGAAGGTAGATTGTTATCTGAATGGTGGCAGTTTAGGAAAAGGTGAGGTGCAACAAGACCTGAGTATCATGGTGGAACAGTCACTGAAGGTTGGCTTACAGGTGTAGCAGGCAATGAGAAAAACTAATAGCATGCTGTTCTTCATAGCAAGAGGATTTGAGTAACAGCATAAGGATGGGATATCTTGCAGCAGTTATACAGGGCCTTGGTGAGGTGATACCTTGAGTGTTGTGTGCAGTTTTGGCCTCCTAGTCTGAGGAAGGACATTCTTGCTATTGAGGGAGTGCAGCGAAGTTCATCAGACTGATTCCTGGGATGGCAGGACTGACATATGAGGAAAGACTGGATCGACTGAGTTTGTACTTGCTGGAATTTAGAAGAATGGGCAGGGATCTCATAGAAACATAAAATCCTGATGCGACTGGACAGGCTGAATGCAGGAAGAATGTCCCCACTGTTGGGGAAGTCTAGAACAAAAGGTCACTGTCTAAGTAAAAGGGGTAAGTCATTCAGGACTGAGATAAGGAAGAATTTCTTCACTCCGAGTTGTGAACCTGTGGAATTTTCTCCCACAGGAAGCTGTTGCAACCAGTTCATTAGATATATTCAACAGGGTCCTGGATGTGGCACTTACACTAACGGGATCAAGGGGAATGGGGAGAGGGTGGAAATGGGATACTGAGATTGCATGATCAGTCATGATTTTATTGAATGGTTGTGCAGGCTCGAAGGGCCAAATGGCCTACTTCTGTACCTATTTTCTATGTTATACAAAGATGGCTTCATTTTTAAAACCTTTAGTCTTATGCTATTAGTGCATTACAATGCATACACACTACATTGACACAGCATTGAAACATTCACTACTGCAGTCCATTTCAGTCCATTTTTTTCCCATCACTGAACACCTCCGTCTTTGACAACAGGTCAACAATTACGTTCTCTCGTCCTGCCACATGTATAATTTTCAAATTGAATGGCTGCAATAATAAGCTGCATCTAAAGAGTCTGGAATTTTTATCCTTAAATTTTTCCAAAAACTTCAAGCGGTTATGATCGGTATATACAGTTGTCTCCTACATGTTACTAGCAATATAAATGTGGAAATGTTGCAATACCAACACCAAACTCAAGGTCGTCTCCTCAATGTTGGAATATTTCTGATCATTATGCAATTTTCTGGGAAAGTACCCAATGAGGCTTTCTTTCTTTTCATCTTCAACACCCAGATCGCTCACATTGATAGGCACCTTGAATGACTTAGGTGTGGCTAACACTCGGACAATGGTTAATGCAGCTTTCAGACTGTCAAATGCCTTCTGACATTCCTCGGTCCACTGAAATTTTCTGCACTTCTTCAATAAGTCAGTGAGTGGAACAACCACCCTGCTAAAATTTGGTACGAACTTCCCATAAAACCACTTAGTGCCAGGAATTGTAGTACTTCCCTCTTTGTCAATAGTATAGGAAATTTCCCAGTAACCTTTGTTTTCACATCACCTGGAGCCATCTGTCCATGTCCAGTGATATGGCCCAGGAGTGTGACTTGGGCTTTTGCAAACTTGCTCTTAGCCTGGTTTGTCACCAAGCCTACCTCCCAATCAATCAAACAATTCTGATAAATACTCCAAATGGTTAGTCTTTGAAATGTGGCTGGTGCATTTTTCGTACCATGTGGCTTGGCTTTTAACTGCTACGATCTATTTGGTGTCACAAAAGCCAAACTTTCCTTTGCCCTTTCAAGTGGAAAAAATACACCTTGTAAAGCCATAATATCATCACAGTCAACAAGGCTGCCTTCTTCAACTTTCATTGTCTCCCTTTCTTACTCCCTCACCCCTTTTTGGCAGCTGCTATAATCTTTTACTTAATCTCTTTTGTCATTGTGAATGTCAATTTCTCCTAAGTTCTTCTCGTCAGGCCTCTTCTGACTTTCCATAAACGACTTCACCTCTTAATGCTGCCTTTTGCAAACTGAGCTCCTTTTCATTAATTGTAAAATGACTGCCTGGCTCTCTCACTTTGCATGAAACTAGAGCCTTTGGACTCTGTCTTTGTACTATTGTATTGCATTACTGACAAGATCATTGTAAGAAGGGGAGGTGGATCAGAGATAATTGAGCTACTTTTGCTAAATGTGTTGTTATGAAAAGTAATTATAAAAAAATCGTACTTATTTCAGCACCACGTTGTGTGAGACAAATACTTAAACTGCTCAACTCGGAAGACTCCAGTGATTTCCTTGCGGTCTGAGTGCATGAGGGATAATGGCTTTATTTAAAAATGCTTTTTGGGTTTAGTTAACCCTCAGGACCTGATGAGGTGTGACCTGGCTCGGAAGTGTACCAAGGAATCAATGGTCGTTTTCATGACCTGTCTAAAAATCTCTGGTCATTTAATTCATTCACAAGATTTGTTGCTTTCAAGGCTTGTTTTTATTGTCTATTCCTAATTGTCCCTGCATATGTCATGGTGAACTGTCTTGGGTACAGCTTAGCATCTTGCTGGGCTATTTTAGAACGCAGTTAATGGTCAACCTAACTGTTGAAGAGTCACATGTAGACGAGACCAGTTGAAGACAGCAATTTTCCTTTACTAATAGACTGTTGTT